TTGTGCCATATTTTTGTTCACCATAAATGTTTGTTTGTTTCCATATCATCTCAAACAACTGGTTAGTAAATAATAATTTGAAAGCGTCAATAGGACGAAATTTCAAATAATTTCCACGTGTAACATTGGAATTATCATTGAATAATTTTAGATTTCTCGTCTGAACATGGTAGTTCCACTCATTCATATCATCGTTCTCTTTTTCGTCAGTTGAATTCTTGCTCTCATTTTCAGATGAAGTTGTGGTTTCTTCGTGATCGGATGAGTTTTCAATCTCTTCGTGATCAGATGAATTTCCAGTTTCGTCGTCAGATGAGTTACAAGTTTCCTCGTTGTCAGATGAGTTTTGAGTCTCGTTATCAGACGAATCCTCAATGTCCGAAGATGAATCACTGGATTCGTAGAACTCCAGAAATGGTTCGTCTTGAGAATCAGAATCACTTGAATCATTCATAGTTTTTGTTTTGTTTTATATCGAAATACTTGATTACTTCTTGTCAAAATGACAGTAGGTTTTGATAGATATCGCGGGATACAGAATCCAATATTAAAGGAACTCGAGAGATCGAGATAGATGTCACTATTGATTAGTGGAAGAAGTACAATCAGATGTCATCGAAATCACGTAAAATTTTCTCAACGCATAAAACTATGTATTGTTAGCCTTTCACAGACTCATCCGTCTTAATAATTGTTTGATCTCATTCAAGTGACAAATATCGTGTGGATGCATGTATTGTATCGTCTTCTATGTCAGAGCAACAACCGCACTTCGATATGATTTCGTCTTCGTGATTTATTCAGAATTTATCACATTAGAAAAAAGTGTGCCTTATAAGGCACGCTGGTACTTAAAGGGTTAAATGGCTCGAGAGAGAAAAACTATACTATTGTAGTGAATATATTGACTGCTGAGTCAGTTTTGTGGAATTCACATATTTTTCGAAGAAAATGGTGAGTGTAAGTTTAAGAGCGCGTTTTCGTGGCTCCCACTCCTGCTAGACCCCTCTCCATTACAGACCGTAGCAATGAAGAATAACAGGCGTCACATTTTTTAGATTTTATCGCAAAATTGATCAAGTTATAATTTTGAAAAATAATAAATATTACTACTTGGGAGTTGATTAACATAAATAATAGTGCTTGAGACCTGCTGTAGATATCATGAATATGTAAAACAGAGATATTTATCAATTAATTCAATGATTATAATAATAAGAATATTAAATTAAGAAAAAACAATTTTAAAAATGAAAATTCTTTTCGAAATGCAGAAATTAGAGAAGTCATTACTCTGAATGTCAATTATCCTGCAAGCAACTATAATCTACGAGAGATTTATCACTTTATGTGTTATGTATTAGTTTAATTAGGCTAGATAGTATATATGAGTTCTATATTTCAGCCTCAAAGGAGCTGTGCTAACAAGCTTTTTCATGAAATAAAAGTAACAAAAATGGCTTTGATGGAGCCAGGAATCTTGATACTCATCTTGTTACAGGCATTAACACAGGACTTTTTGTCACTTTCAATCGCTTGGTTTCAAATTTCAGACATTTTGAAACTCGGGGACGCGATACTAACACTTTGATCAAACTATAGATAATGCTATAAGAACATTTAGCTGGACAAAGCGAGTACGGAGAATGTTAATGATATCATGTGGATATAAAGCATATTTTTAACATGCTTAGAATATGCAATTTCCGTAGGGAGTACCGAATATGGGAATATACATTTTCAACTCTTGAAGAATAATGGTTTGTTTCATTTCGCTCCTTAATGTGCTGCCAACGAATCATTTTCCATATCTAGTACTTCTAATATCCTATCTGCAGTGCAACTTATCCTTTGAGTAGAGGGTTAGCAGCGTTTGCGCTGCGTTACTTGTTTTTATCGATATGCCTTTCCAAATGGAGAACATTTGCTTTCGAATCGATCAAAGAACACTCTCTCCCATGAAAAGTTTTAATGCCATAATGCCGAATCAAAATTTAACGTTCTAATAAAAAACTAGTGAACGTATAAAAGGGCGCTATATAAATGCTGTTTACTACTGCAAATCCATAATCGTATACACGAGTAAAACCATGATACAATCTTTCTATTTAGAACTTCACTTACTCATTATATGTAAAGCAATGTAGTTTGCGTGTTCACTTATCCAAATATACTGATTGAAATTCATTGGTATCGATGACATATCCTAACCGGTGCTGAGTCCGTATTCATGACACAGTGTCTTTTGCATATAATGTGTACTTTCTTATATATAGTTTATTTTATTAGGTCTATCTCGAAAAAACCTCTAGCAGCCCACAGTATTATCCGGGTCCTCCACATCCTGAGGATTTTCATTGACTCCCATATACGGAAACTACGTTTTTCTCCTTCGTCCTTCTTCCTATAATAGGCGCCGAAAATTAGTTCTTATCTACTTGATATTCATTGGGCCAAAAAGTATTTTTCAATTTAGATTCACCTGTTATGGATCATAGGGCGACATACGTAGCTCACGACAAATTTAGCGCAGCCTATAGGCTTCGATTGGGTATGCAGGTGAAGGTTCGCCGTGGCGGTGGAGGGATGCGAGTAGTCACCATACAGGATATCAACTACTCCAATGGCCAGGTAACGGTGATCTGGCAGCGAGATACATTTGTCATGACTAAGGTAGTTGATGCGGCCGAAATTGTATCGTTAAACAACATATAAAGAGCTTAAATATAAACCAATTGACTTATCCCGTAAAAATCAATGAAAAATAGATTGACCTATATCCTTTTTTTTTAATACGAATCAATCTCCTATTTTCAACTCTTGCTTTCCTGCAAACGATTTTCTGCCTCAAAGAAAATATGAAATAGCAGTGCTTGAATAAAATGAATATAAAATAAATGTCTAGTTAGTTTTGCTGACGTGGCTGTAGTTGTGTTTATTGAGACGACTAAAACAAAGTCGATAAAAAGCTAGGAAGACCGGTTTGGATAAATGCTGAAGGTTGTGGGTGTGTAAAAGGTGTGGGGTGGGGTGGAGTGGGGTGTGGGTGTATGTGTGTGGATGGGTGTGGATGAGTGTGTGGGTGTGGGTGTGGGTGTGGGTGTGGGTGTGGGTGTGGGTGTGGGTGTGGGTGTGGGTGTATGTGTGTGGGTGAGGGTGTGGGTGAGGGTGTGGGTGTGGCGTGGGTGTATGTGTGTGGATGGGTGTGGGTGAGTGTGTGGGTGTGGGTGTGTAAAGGGTGTGGGTGTATGTGTGTGGATGGGTGTGGGTGAGGGTGTGGGTGTGGGTGGGTGTTGTTGTGGGGTGTGGGTGTGGGTGTGGCTAAAAACGAAATTGACACTCACACTCAAATCGGTACCCACACCCGACACTCACCTACACCCACATCCACCCACACCTACATCCACACCCACACCCCGCACCCATCCACACCCAATGTCAATATTCGCATTCACATGAACCCTTTTCAAAATTTTGATACTAGATGTGTTGAAGACTACGAAGCAATATACAATACCAAAACAGCTGAATATTCAGTTGAGGGTCAAGCGAGTCACATAGACGAGGGTTACTTGTAGGTTGTCATCGGAGAAAATAAGTATATAAATGTGAATTAGGCGTGGATGTTGTAGCTTCTTTCATTATATACAGCCATAATTACATCTACACTGTTCGCAATGGACTCTGCGCAACTATATCTAACAACGCATTAGTATAATAGATTTTATTCAGGTATTTATCAATTGTTTGCCTTCTGTTTACTTGTTTTGATAGATAAAAACAAAAATAATAATATCTGAAAATATTCTGCACATTGTTTTCATAGAAGATCATAAAAAAGGACGGCTCGCAAGTAGATACCTGATAAAATGAGAATACCTGTCGTTTTCTCTCTCTGTTAATTGTTGGTAGAGTTACACTGATAGAACCTCTCGAGACATTATAGCCAAGAAACTCAGTTTTCAGCACAATATGGCAAGTTACTATGAAATGTGAGTATTCAATCATTTTTATTTGGTCGTCTTATGTCGCAAGTAGCTTACGACTAAATATTTTGAGCTCCGTTTCAAATCGTGCGCTTGGCATAAGACATGAAAAACTTTGAAGTTCGATTAGTTCTATATGAAAATAAGTAGTATGATATTTGTACGAATTCTGGACCTATAGCTTCATTAATTTTCGACTAACGAACTGTCGTTTTACACAATTAACGAAAGCTGTTCTGTATCCTATTATAAAAATGCATCTGAGCCAAAGAGTTCGGATGAAATATGCTGCTAACATGGTGCGTTGTCTGTGACTCCATAGGCATGTCCGTTCCAAGTAGATTAGAGAACAGAAGATCGATCTCGACACTCATGTGCTACACTCTTCATCAACAAGTATTAAGGAATCACACGAATAGATTCTGCAGCTACATGAGAACTTTGCAACTGACCGAGATGAGACTTTCTTTGAACAAATATGTCATGCAATTATTTTGACAGAAAAAGTTAGACTCATGAATATTTATAGAGAAAAACGTTTTTTAATATAATGAGAAACAGTATTGACCTGCTACTGACATGCATGAAAACATTAACTAAATGATGTTTCTATCGCTATTTTTTTCCCTTCTATTTTGTAATAAATTGCGCATCAACTATACTGTTCTGCTGATAACCTTGAAAAGGGTTTTTTTGATAACTACATAAATTTCATTCATAAACAAAAACAAGTAGTATGATAAGATAAGGCACATTATCTACTACTTCAGATATATAAAAGCTAATACGAAATGTATTCCTTCAAAGAAATGTGATCGAACATACAGAACATAGCATATTTGTATAGTAATGCGTACATGAAACTAAAAGACGCGAATAGTTCTTTGATATGTCAAAAGAATTTTGTGAAAATCTGGTTGACCAGTCTATTAGGTGACCTCTTCACTAAAGTCGAGAATAACCAAAACTTCTATTTTTCTTCCACTCGTATCCTTTAGCGGCAATAGTGTCTGTTGTGATCATCTTCATCTCGCCATATGAATAAGCAAGTATTTCGCGAATTCGATGGCATCACTTTTAGTGAATGTAGTTCATATTAGTCTTTACATGTTTTGAAGCAGAATGTGGAAGTTAATCGTCTATTTTTTCTTCTACTTAGATCCTATTCCTTATTCAAAACGTACAAATTTATGAACTCCTACTATTGGAGACATCAGAAACTCATACGAAGAACATAATATTGCAGATATTAAAAAAAACAGACTTGACAATTCCACAGTTATTTTCAAGCTAACGTAGAGTAGCACGGGTTTTTCAGGCAGACTTTGTCGGAATCAGTTGTTTTCATCGAATTTCTCTTATCAAGGTTCCATTGAGATTCGAAATACTTTCCGAACAGTACACTTCTGTAGACAAGATAGCAGACATGCGTGTTAGTGTGTCTTATGATTACCTTTAAAACAGAATGAATATGATGATATTTTTATTTAGGACAAATTTTCAAGCTTCGATGACAGTCCAACAACAACCACAAGAAATAAAGAATGTATTTGGCATAAATTCTGGTGAACATATTTTGAAAACCTATGAATGTGATGAAACATGTTGTGGATGCGGTGACAAGTATACAGTGACACTAACAAATACAAGGCTTATTCAAAGACGTAAAAGCAAAAGTTGCTGTTGCAGTTGTGGTCGTATTGATTCCATGCTTTTTCTATCTGATATTAGTACTGTAGATTATGGAGCACGAAGTTGTCTTAATCTCTTATGTTCATATGGGTGTAGTTTTCTATGTCTTATTTATTGTTGTGCTTGCTGCTGCAACATAGGTGCACCGATTTCTTTTCGTGGAGGATATGGAGAGCAAATGTTTACATTTAACAGGAAGGATCTAGCCGATGCATTAGTAGATGTTCCAAATGCAGCAACGCCTCAAAAAGCATCATGTAACAATTATCTAAACGCACCTTCCCCAAGTGCTCCAATAGCGACTAAACCAAAAAAAAAGAAGAAATAAATTTTTATAACGTCGAATTAATATTCTCGTCGTTTGACATACATTGACGATTTTTTTTCTCATACAATCAGTTGTATTTAGTGATTTTATTGTAATTTTTAGACTCTGTTTAAAATAAAGAAAAAGCTATGATTTTTAAGTATCAATTAAAGATGACTTCCTCTAAACATGTAAACGAACAGTAGACAAGATGTTCATCGTTATTTCATACTTAATTTGAATTAAAGCTCGAAATAGATAAACCAAACCCGCTATAACTTTTAGCAAATGATATACATGTACGTGTGTGTATGGAAAAAAGAACATTCATATCCACACCCACATTCTTTGTAACTTATGTTATTAAAATGATTCTATTCTTTCTTTTACTGTCAATAAAAAAATATGTTTGCTAGAATGAGAAAAAGTTAAACAATAAAAATCCTCATGGATACAAATATGTGGTTCACCATTTCTCTTGTTTTAAACCAATGAATGGTGTTTGTGAAGCTTTAAAGTTTTATAAAGGTATATCGAAATTTCTTAGACAAAAAGCAGTTTGTTATTGCGTACTACTACTACTTGAAAATGTGATAAAGTTGCCATTATCTAGATTTCATTACAGCTAAAGGAGTGGTCAGCTAGGTTTAGTCTCTGTTTGGCGAAAGTGAATACTCTGATTTGAACATATATTTACAACTTTTTCGCGCTGTTCTGTTGCTTCAAAGAAATCCGACTCCGAGATTCGGAACTTTGGACACCGATAGACTATAGAAAAGTTTTATCGTAAGACTCAAAATGTTTAAAAGCAAAAAAAAACTTCATTGCCGATGTTTTTTATTTTATATTGACATTCACTCACGTATAAATGCAGTTTATTTCATGTAAACTTTCAGTTCAAGGGATATGAATAAGATTGTCAGCATAGTTCCCATGATGCTAAATGTCAAGGAGAAATAATTAATTTTCAAGAGATTTCCAAAGATTTAAGATGTTCAAATCTGTTTTTTTCCTACCTTAGTCTAAGTGTTCAAATAACTCACCGACGATAACTTATCTATGGAGTAATTGTTATCCAATCCATATTCTATCAAATGGAAACTATATCAGAAGGGGATCAAAACTTTTTTCGTATTTTATGTCATAAACTATTTTACCTTCATAAAGGTCTTTCTAATAAAAACTATAGCAATACGTGTTCTTCGATATGACTATTCGAGACACTAATGTACATTGATAATAAAATCAGTCATTGATATATATATAAATTAACAGAAAAACAATGGGTGTGGGTGTGAGTAGAAGTCTTCATTTAGCCACCCCACACCCACACCCATACCCTGTTTTTACGACGTACAGTAATTTTGATGTTTCAAAGAACGACAAATGGTGATTTGAAAGAGAACATGTCAATAAATTTTGCACAAAATTCTCTATCTTTTAACATCTGAACCAAAACTTTCTTATAGAGTCTAAATTGACACAAACAGTCTATGAAAAACCGGCAATTTTCTTTACCAAACTCGTTATATCTCCTTTTTATTTCTACTACTATTTTGATTTAAATGATTCTATTTTCGAGTTATTTTACGATGGACCATCGAACGAAAGACTTCAAAGACAGATATTTATCGTTTCATCCATAAAAAAAAAGTTGGTCGAAAATTGGACGGAACCGAGCAGAAATCGAACATTCGCCCATAGAGAGACCCAGCCAAGTCACACTCATTTGTATCGATGAAGAATTATTTGATTTTTGATGAAATTTTCGGGTTAATTTGATATTAATGAGTCTTATTGAAATGAGAAACTTGTTGAAATAGTCTGTAGATAATCAAAGAATACATGACGATTGACCATGTGTGTTAAACAAAAAACAACGCGTGTATATTTTATAAAAAAAAACTGTTAGCACAATCCTTGCAGAACTAGGGTGTGGGTGTGGGTGTGGGTGTGGAGCAGGAGAAAAATTACACTCACATCCACACTCAATGCGACTCACTTTCTAAAATTTCTTAATTGATTCGATTCGCCTAAATCAAACTTATCTGCGATTCGATCGGATTCGACCTACTTTTCAAAATTCTGCATTCAATTCGATTCTATCTGATTCGGTTCTATTCGTTGGAGACAGTTTTAAAAAGATGCTACGTACTTTAACATACTATCCATTTTTTGACAATGTTCTCTCCTGATAATGAAGTATTTATCGACATTCTTCTTAGATATATCATTTTCATAGTTAACTGTATGATTAATTGAAGTAAGATTAAGTGCTATTAGATTTGTTTCACGACGATATTCTTTCCCTAAGCCAAAAAGAACAAATATAACAATATCCTTAATTCATGTTTAATGATGTAAAACATTATTGAACAATACGTTTTAAATTCGGATTAGAAGTTATTTGAAACGATTGAATTGGATCAGCAATGGATGCTGCACATTATTGTTTTGGTTCTTCTTCCATTGTGAGTACATTTTTGGAAGAACTGCATGCCGATTGAGGTGAACGAATCAATGAAGTGATACTTGTATGTCCAAGAGATTCCTTTTGGTAACAGCCGGATGTGGATGTGAGTGTGAGTGTGAGTGTGGGTGTGGATGGGTGTGAGTGTGCGTGGACTCAGAGAACACCCGCACCCGCACCCGCACCCATACCCACACCAACACTCACACCAGCACCCACACTCTCAAGGTTTCACCTCGAAAATTTTGACAGTAATTATTTCATACCCGATAAGTGTTGTATATTCGATATTGATTTAAAGCAAACAAGGTGGAGAACGATTCGATCGTAGTATATAAGACCGAACATAATTTTCCATTTCAATGCTAAATCTCGAATCAAAAACTAAGTAAATAATGGCAATGCATCTACCATTTCTCATCATCATTGTTCTTCTTCTTTTTCTCCAATCAGTTGTTAGTAAGTATTGCATTCGAAGAAATACAATTAAGATCTCATTCTGCATTTGTTTTCACAGATCAAACAATTCGATCAACATCTGAATGTTCAGTTTCACTCTGTCCATCAAGAAATAATACAAACAACTCTTGTTCATCAGCGAGTACACAGATATGCTATGCCTATACAGTTCCAGTGACTAATCAAACATTCTGTGCTCCTTCAGCTTCATGTTCACTTTGGGCGTGGGCGTGGGTGAAGAGAAGACTAAGAACCACACCCACACCCACACCCACACCCACACCCGCCCACACCCACACACCCACACCCGCCCACACCCACACCCGCCCACACCCACACCCACACCCACATCCACACCCCCAATAAAAACCAGTAACAATGAAAAAAAAGATTTTTTATTGTAAGGTGTGCACAATTCAAAATTACAACAATGTTTTTCGCGATATTTATGCATGGTTGGATAGAGCGTAACATTTTAGCTAGGAAAATGTGGTTCTTTAGTTTTAAAAATGATTTTTGCGAAAATAAATTTTTTCTACCATCAAATTTCCAAAAACACCTGTTTTTGCCATTTTTGTAACCGGTATATCAGCATATGAATTTTTGTAATTAGTGAAATATCATCTTTGGTTTTAGATTTTCTTTTTGATAGGTGTTTGCTTTTCTATTGCATTTTTACTAAAAAGTGTTTCTTTTTTATTTAATTGTCCAATGAAATAATTAGTCGTTTAAAGTATTCAGCATTCTGGATATAATTTGTCATGCAATTGACACATTTCAATCATTAATCTATACGGTTCTAGGTGGGCCTCGCTGATTGCCTTTTCATAGTCGACTTGACATGTCAGGAAGCTCTTGGCAGAGTATTTGCGCACTTGATACGGACCATACCTTTTGGAAACTTTGTGTATCTGTTCGAGTATTTGTTTCTCTGTTATTGACGATGTCTCATTGTCATAATCATGAAATTCAATGTGTTTACCGGTTTCATCATTTTGAGCCGACAATCCATTGAAGTGAGCACGAACTAATTTCACTATTTTGTTTGATTCATCGATACTCATCGGTAATAAATCTGAGCGAGAAACTTGTAAAACATTATGCATTTCATCATTGTCATCCGTATAACAGGTGAAAACACCAACAGCATGTTGACGAAAAGCTATGCCAAATAATGCAGACAATCCAACAATCTTTGTACGAGTGCATGTTATCAGCAAAGAAGCATAGGGTTCGTTACCCCACTTGTCGGTCCATGAAAAGCTGGTTGTATCTAACATTTGATATTTGATGTGTTGCGACCTCAAGAACTTTTCGATTATGTCAATTAATTTAACATGAGTCGTGACAGCTTTTTTCTGGGTAACACTCTTTCCCTTATCACCAGGAACAGTAGCCAGATGCATACGATAAGTTTTCATTTGACCGTCGTTGCCAATTGATACTG